AGAGAGAGAGAGAGAGAGAGAGAGAGAGAGAGAGAGAGAGAGAGAGAGAGAGAGAGAGAGAGAGAGAGAGAGAGAGAGAGAGAGACGCGGACAACACGTATGGGCAGCTTTCCAAAATTGCCCTCTACTGATTGCTCCAAAACTGCTCACAATAAAGCAGTGAACATGCTGCTCTACAGATAACTTATCTAAGTGCTATACAATAAGTTCGCATGTAGACCATGAACGTCGTACAGCTAAACCAGTTTACTGCGGGAGATCGAGCAAAATGAAAGCACAGCAACCTACTCGGAATCGGAGGAAATGACTGCATCACCATGTGAGCGACTACGTGATTGGCTTGACGATGGTGCACGCAGACTGCGGATGGCCTCTGCGAGCACCATGTATCCTGCATTCATCCTATCTCCTACGATGGCAGCCACTCTCTCACGTGAGGCAATGTCCTCCTTCATCAGCTCCCTCTGGAGATCCGCCTGCTGGCGGGCGACATCAAGTGTTGTATCACAGCGCAACTTCGCACACTGTCGATCAGACGTCGTAATCGCTGAGCTATGGTCACGCATAGCTCCAGTAACTGCCCGCATGCTATTTTCACGAGCATTGCTGACAGCTCGTTTGCGTTTGCCCAGCGTAGGATTGAAAGCACCAGACCTTGTGCCACTGGAAGGGCCGGCGGACCCACCCCCCCATCCTCGCTGACACCTCCCGTATCCCCATCTCCGTCCTCCATCCGTTCTTGCTCGGAACCGGAGTCCCTCAAATTTGATAACCTGATGGAATCAGTGTCTCCCTCTGATGATGATATACTGTCATACCAACTGCGACGAATCACGAAATCCACATTATACCTCTTGCGCGTAGTGGAATTCATGTCCCAGTAAGATGGGTTACCCGACCACCTCTCATGTGCCTTCAACTTTCTATAGAAGTCGAAAATTTGGTGGAACTTGCTCTTGCACTGATCGTGATCTTGATTGTACCCTTTCTCCCGCATCCGACTCTCAACAACCTTCCAAAACCCCGCCTTTAAACGCGCCCTACCAAGTGACTCGCTGTCCTCACCCATGAGGCCCTTCACCTCATTCCGGAACTTGCACAGCCATGTACTCTCCTCCTCGCCCCACCGTTCCATGTTCTTCTCAGGTGCAGTGGGTTGTGCCTGCGCTCCTTTCCCACGGCTGTCGACAGAGGTCCCTGCAGCATTCTGAGCATTGGACGGCGTGGTTTGAGAGCCACCGTGGCCAGGTGGTGGGCTGACACTCTGTCGTCCACACACGTGCGACAGGACGTCCTGTGGAGCGGTACGTGTGCCAGACACCGGAGACACATTGACATTCCTGCCAGCACCTGTCCCTGCACATCCCTCCATGGTTCCACCACCCGCTTCTACCTCCCTCAGTAAGCGGTTGAGGATGTACTCAGAACCCGGTGTCCGGTCATCTGGCTGCTGACCTCCAATGCCCTGCGAAACCCCGGACTGTGGTGTCTGGCACGTCCTTCCACCCGGTCTTGCCAAAACAGCAGGGGGAGTGGAACATCCGACATTGAGGGAATGTGTCCCAGAATTGACGCAGCTCGGAGATGGCACCGGTGAAACAGCAGCACTGACACTGCCAGGGAGGTCAGTCCTCGGGGAAGAAGTAGACTGTCCCTGCACAGGAAAGGGAATCGCATCAGAAGACTGGCCCTCGGCCATTGCCATTGCACGCAACCTCAAACGCTCCCAAAGGCGGTTCTCATCTTGCTGGCTGACCCCAAATGAGATACCAGCAAAGCCTCGAACTGGAGAGGTGAAGCCACTAACCCTTGGTACATCTTCAAACCACTGCACTTGGTCGACCCTCGCAGACTACCATGGTTGTAACGGGTGACGGAGAATTAGGGTTCGATTCCGGAGAGGGAGCCTGAGAGATGGCTACCACATCCAAGGAAGGCAGCAGGCGCGTAAATTACCCAATCCTGACATAGGGAGGTAGTGACAATAAAT